CTTGTTGAGATTCTACTTGCACTGCATTGTCCATTCAGTCCTTTTCATCACATTGCGGATCCTCGGTTATTATGTACATTGCCCAACTGGGCATGTAACCGTTGGTATCGGAACGCCGCACGTGAATCAGGACAACCTGATCTGACACGTGTGCGGGGACTAGGTAGCTAATTAGTCTTTATTGATTGAATAGAGCACACTAGTTAGCCTTTTCTTGGATTTTGTTGTCTCGCTATTTCTGTTGTGGAAAATCGCAATAGCACAACATCTGAAATTTCCATTTTCATTTTCTTTGTGAAAATTCAAAATTTCGTTGTTAAAAATCCTGAATTTCCTTTTGCATTTCCCGTTACTTGGAAATTCGAAATATTCCTTTTTCGAAATTTCGTTTTTGTAGTCGAAATGTTTTCTCTCATTAATCATTTCGCACTTCAAAGGAGGTTGGGAGACCTACTTAACTTGCAAAACTCGGGAATTTTTTTATTTTCTTATTTTCTGAAATTTTCTCGAATTTTTTTTTGCTAAGTTCAAACTTTTCTTTTTTGATTAGTGGTTCCTTATCGGGGCGATTCTTCGCACCCACCCTCCCCACCTATGTTGTTGCCACCTCTCGCCCTACCTTCTCTACCTCTCTCCGGGTACCCCCTGCGGGAACATTGGTGAGCTGCCATGTCAGCAGGCCACGTCAGCAGGCCACGTCAGCAGGCCACGTCAGCCGACAGCAGTGCCACGTCAACAGCAGGGAATACCACGTCAGCAGGCCCCCGACCTGGTCTATGCTGTTGCGTTCACAAAAAGCCGTCATGGACCAGAGGTCCGGAGAAGCAGACGAGGCCTATCACGCCCGGATGCTGGCTTGGAGTACCGAAACAAAGAGACGGGCGGATGATGCAGCAACAGCAGCGAAGAAGAAGGTAGAGGACACCGAGCAGGCACGTCTGCTGGCATTGGAACAGCAGCGCCAGCACGACGAGGCAGCAGCAAAGGCTGCTGATGAAGAACGACTTCAAAGGCGGGAGGAGATATTTAGCGGAGAGCAGACTTTGCTCACAATGGCATCAGAGTGGCGAACCGAGGCCGAGAATGGCAAGCTGGAGGATAGCGAAAACAAGATCGCTCTCCTCCTCTCCCATCTCACGGACCTCCTGACAACATGCATTACACAACAGGAGGACATCCACAGCCTCGACGACTCGCTGGCTCAAGTCCACGGCCGCCTCTGGCAGCTGGAGCAGCGACTTGTCGCCGCCCCCGATCCCAGCTCTTCCAACACCTCTGATCGCCTCGAAGCATTGGAGATGGACATGGGCTCCCTCAAGGACGGCGTGCAGTTACAGCAGACCGCAACGCAACAGTTGGAACAACGGATCTGCACTGCCGCCAACCACTCGAGTTCGGAACCGCGCGAGAGAACTCCAAAGTTCGACGGGCAGGAGATCTTCTGCGACTCGACAAAGACAGATCCAATTTCATGGTTCCGCAAGTTCGAGCTCACGCTGCAGCTACACTACGTCAAAGAACACAAGCACCACACATACTTATACTCCCGGTCGGGAGGCGCGTGCCAGGCATGGTTGGACAATCTCTTGTCCAAGTACGGAGTAGTAGTTGGCGATTTGCACACCAAGATCAGTTGGGATGATCTAAAGGCGGCGTGGCACAAGCGGTTCCAGGTCGAGCTGCCGGAGATCAAGGCAATGGACAAGCTAATGGTCTTCAAACAAGGCACGCTGCCGAGTACCGACTGGATTGCCGAGTACCAACGCTTGACATCAGTCCCAGACATCCAGATGGGATTCAAAGCCATCCGCCACTATTTCATCTCAAGATAGTGTCCGACATTAAGCAATGCCCTGACGCACGTTGAGGACACCTTGACGACTACGGCGGAACTCTTTGACAAGGCCGTGCAGATCATCATTACGAACAAGGAGGCCAAGAACCTGCGTTCATCTGAGCCAGGCCCGAGCAGAGACCAGCATCAGCCAAGAGTGGTTGTGGTCGTGGCGGCAACGCCGTTTGACCAAACTAGCGAGGCCGTGTCTGCCAATGAAGGTGACAGACTCGCAGCCGCCCGGGAAGGTGGCCGCCTCGGGAAAGGCCGAGGACGCGGCAAGACGAAGACACACACCCCATCTACCCCCGGGCCCGGCGCAACAGCTCCAGCCGCATGGTCCCAATACGGCATCTCCCAGCAAACATTCAAGGCGCGCACAAGATTCCACTATTGACTCTGGTGTAACAACGATCTCCATGAGACGCTGGCCTGCCCATTGAAAGGCAAGGGCAAACAGGGAAACTGAGCACCGCCGAGAGTGACTCGACGACACTCTCGACACCTCCGGAACCGGTCTCTTCGCGAGTGACCGACCTTCATTCCGAGGCGCATGCGGAAGTCGATAGTCCTCCTCTTCTATATTCTTTTGAGGACTATGCTTGCCCGTCTACCCAGTCTTTCATTGCTTTAAGTTGGCTCTTTACACGCGAGCGGAACATGACAATTCTCCCCGGAGACGTTTGCAAGACCCACCCTCTATGGACGGTTTTTAAGAGGTCGGCGACATCATCTCCCGGCGACGCTACGGCAACAGGCCAACCGAGTATTTGGTGCATTTTGCATACTGCACACACCGAGCTGACCGTTGGTTAACCCGTGCCGAACTTCAAGCAACAGCTCCAGACGTTCTCGCACGCTACGAACGCAAGATGCAAGGCAAGCCGGTCTCTTCGGCTCCACACCGCGCCCGCGTCCAGATTCCACCCTCAGATCGTCGGCATCGCCCTCGCCCCGGCTTGACTTCATAAGGAGGGGGGGGTGTTACATGCTGCGCCTGCACACGAGGGCCATTTTCCGGGCCCTGCGTCCCTCAGGCCGAAAGCCTGAAAACCAGGGCCTACAGGCCCCGTGTCTGTTCGGCCCGAAAGCCTGGAAAACAGGGGCCTATAGACCCTGTGTTGTTTCAGACTAAAAATGGCAGGAGCCTTTTTAGCCTGACACGAAGGGCCATTTTCGGTCGTTCATCAGAACGACCGGCCCTGAAACTCAGGCACTAAACGAGGGTTTCGGGAACAGGCTATTCTTAGCCTGTTACCACGACCGCCTCAGCAGATGCTGCAGCGCCAGCCCCTGGCACACTTCGGCATTGGCAAGAGCAGCCTCCTCGCCTTGGCTCGCCCTGCAGGCAGTCAGGAGGCAGGCCGAGGGAGTACATAGGGACTTCCCATGCACTTCACGGGCAGGAAGGAGGCAGTCAGTAGTCTTCAGGATTTGGCAGCAGCACTCTGGAGGGAGCGCTGCAGGGTAGTAGTAGCGTTAGCATTAGTCTTCCGCGCTGGGCGCCAGTAGGTAGTTGTAGTCTTCAGCGCTGGGCGCCATAGCTAGAATAGCACTATAGAGAGAGAGAGATTGGGCGGAGGCCAGGAGTACCTACCTGCAGCGCCGTTGCTCCAGCTTCGTCTTCGAGGTACCTGCAGCACAGCGCCAACTTCACAGGTTAGTATCTGGCTCGTGACACAAAGAGAGTTTTTCTTCTTCCTCTTCTCAGGCCACCATCTCCCTCTCACCCTCTCATTATCTGACTTCACTGCATCCGCAGACTACGAGAG